TCTGTTTGCTTGGGCGCTCATGCAATCGTTTTCTCATCAGTAACGATATCCTAGCCTTCAAAGACCAGACCTGGTTTTGTTGCGTAACAACACTTAGTGTAACTTACAGCATATAGCAAAACAATGGTAGATCGAATTTTAGGAGATTTGTACAAACCGTGCTCCTAAGACTTAGGGATGCCAATCTCAAACTAAAACAATCTTGTAGTTTCATCCCTGCTTTCTGATCATTTGAATCCTAGGGATACAAAAGAAAGACAAACCGTACTTCGTTTTGTACAAACCGTGCTTCGTCGACTTCCACTTCCGACGAACGAGGCCCCAGAGGCACCGGACTTGTACAGCAGGCCGCGGTCGACGTGTTCGCGGCTCCGCATGCGGGATGGCACACAGACTCTGTGGTGCAACCGTTGGCTGAAAAGAGCATATATCCAACATGCCCGTTTGGGCTCCAGTCACCGAACCTGAGAAGGTCTTTGGGGTGGGTTTAGAGGGTCCAAATACCCTCTGAGGAGGTACTTGGAGCCCTAGGGATGCATCAACATGCCAAAAAAACAGCTATGCTGGGGGGAGCAGAGCCGAACACGCACGAAACGCACGAAACGTGAGGTTTAAGCCGAGACGCATGGAACCAACGGGCCCCGACATTATGGGAGGTTTTGAAGCCGATCAACGTAATTAACGTGATTGTTCAAAAGCCTGGTTTTGCTGATCAGGTGATGTTTTATTTTCTATACTAGTATAGTTAAATCCCCTTCCGGGGAATATCATTTTCCATGCTCCTGGACAGCAAATCCAAGAAAGCATTGCTGACATTGCACGAATCAATCAGATCATATTATATGAATTTGAATTTCATATTTCATGAGTTCATGGCAGACTTATATGATGCTTCTGTGCGTCCAAGCTCAGCGTGCTTCGCGCGTGAGGCTGGAGGAAGCCTATGACTGGGTCAGCAGCGGTTGGGTGCCCTAAACATCCACCCCCGTTCAGCGAGTGTCGTTGGTTAGGTCAGAAATCTGAGGACCGGGTGACATGGAAACAGGAGGCACAGATGGATCAGATGGTGCCTGAAACAGTTGGAAAATCGTGAGGAAGACGCGGAAGAGAACCAGGATAACATGTTTTTACAACTGGCAAAATTGCATGTGCATCTCATTAATCTCTGAGTCTTTGGCTTTCCCAGCAGGTTCCATGGAGACTTATGGATCAATGGTCCAAGTGAAGAAAGAAGAAGAAAAGAGCAGACATTGTTGACAACTGTTTTTGGAAAACACCCTCTGCCTAGACTCCTTGTTTGTTTTCTTTGTGTATCTTTGTGTTCATTATTTTTGCTTGTTTTGTTGCCTTTCTTTGCTGCTTTCTTCTTGACCTTTCTTTGCTTCCTTTCTGCTTTGCTGCCTTTAGGTTTCTTTCTTGTTGTTTCTCCTTGCTTGTCCTGCTGCCACCTTTTGCTTCTTTCCTGCCTGGAGGCAAGGGTTGTGTCATTATGTTGCTGGGCAAACCAATCTTTGGCGACAATGCTTTGATGAAGAAAAAATGAAGCAGAGGCAGAAAGAATAATACTAAGAAACAATACAATGAAGTGAGAAAAGGAGCAGAAAAGACAAGGAATAATAAACAGAACAACATTAATATATATAATATATAGCACAAGAACAAACATAATAATAATCATAATGAAGAAATACATTAACAAACATAATTATCAAAATAAGAAAAGAATAAGAAGAAACAACAGAAGGAATAATCATAAGCAGGACGAAGTTGCAAAAAAGAAGCAGTCCCGGTCGAGTCGTTCCCCGCAACTGGCTCTTCTGACGTTCAGTGTTCCACTGTCTCTTATGGGTGGCACCGTTGTCCTTTTGTTGGCTGCGGGGCCTTCAGGGCCGTGGCCGTCGCCGTCCGTCCCGTTCTCGGTGGGCGAACGGTCCCTCGTCGTTGTCGGACAAAATGTGTTGGGTTTTTGATGGTTTTTGGTTGGGTGCTTTCTGGGCGCCTTGTGGGGTGTGTTTTTGGAGACTGGTCGGCAAAGACTTTACGTCGTATTATGGTGAAGCGCCTAGCTAAGCGCCTACGCAGGTCAAGAAGTGTGCAGGCAATGTGCCGCATCAGGTCAAGAAGACTGGCGCTGGTGGTCTCCACGGACAGTCTCTATGTTGGCTTCAGAATCTTCAGAGTAGCCAGGACGGAGTGCCCCAGGATGATCCGGTCGGCCGGACTGCCAGAGGCACGGAATAGCTACGCGGAAGAGTGCGCGCCACGTCCAAAGCGTCCCTCGCATGCCCAATATCTAAGGAGAACATCAAAGGTAGATCCTGATGATCACACAAGCAATACACAGCTTCATATCCTGAAGCAAGATTCTTCCGCCGAAGGCCTCCCAACCCCAGACTCAGAGTCCTCAAGCTGATCGATCTGGCGACCAAGGTGCAGAAGTGTCCGAGACGTGCGATAAGAAGCTGCTGTGCCTTTCTGCAGTATCTACAGCACTCGCACGATCAACTACAGACTAACAGCAGGATGTCAGACGATTCGCACGACCAGCTTGACTGGCGAATCTCTAAGTCGACGCTGACTTTGGAGTTGATCAGGAAGAGCGAGCAACAGAACACCGTGTGACATACGATGGTTGCGTAAAAAGATGTGTCAAGAGGAATGGTTTCAGAGTGCTATCGGAGAACCGCTTTTCATCACGATGGTTGCCTGATGTTCATTGTCCTCCTCCGATATACACATCAGAATCATAAGACGCCATGGTTGCCGCCTTTCCGGCAGTCCGAGGAAGGCGAAGGCAGAAACTGCTGAAGTCCTTGACAGGCAAAGATCCAATTGCACGCAAGAGACTCGAAGGAGGTAGAAAGATTCCAACATGTGATCAATGAAGACCTCCTGCCAACCTCTGATCATAACTGGCATGAGCCAGTCATGGTGAACGTCCGAAACTACATTGACCGCAATCAGCGGATCAGGATTGACTCAGAGGTATTGACTGAGCAGCATCCGGCGGGTACCTGGTCCTAAAGGCTCCCAACACCTCTTTGCCTTTAGCATGGATATCCAAAAGGCAAACCAAATGCGGAGCAGGCAGCCATTGCTGTCCATGGCTACGTTGATGTTTTGGAGCCTTTGCTACTGTAGTTGGAGTGCACTTGCGCAAGAACGAGGTTCTGGTACCACTTGCCAGCAAGGCAGTCTGGAACACAGATGAGACTAGACAGGATACTGCTTCAGTCTCACTTGGTTTCAGCCACATCACTTGCTTTCTGTATGTTGTTTTGGGTGGCCTCAGTGTGTTGAATATGTTGTTTCTGAAACTTCAGAAAAGCTAACTGTACTTTTTTGTGTGGTGGTTCTGTGATTTTCACTGAGATCCAAGCTGCAGCTACCGCCTCTCATGATAACAGCAAATCATTGATAGAAACCATGCTAGGACACGATGGTCAACCAATAAAGCCATACAAACATGTACAGTTAGTGTTGATCTGATATGTTCAGCCAAAAGATGCAACAAGTGTTTGTATAAGAAAATGGCTGCGTAAACCGTGTGCCTTCTTGTGTTTCCAGATATGTTCAGATCTTTGATGTGTTTAACTCATGTTCTTTTTCTCAATAGGTGTGCCCGGCCGCGTATTGTTTTGGGGATTTGTTTGACACTGACCCGCACCTGCACTGAAGGTCTCACCCGTCCCGACCGAATGGTTTGCGCACCTAGGTATCAGCGACCTCTACAGCGCGGCGACCGGGCCGGACTTGACGCCACCGAGGCCGGTGGGTCGCCAGCCTGACGTTTTTGGGGAAGAACATGCACGTTCTTCATGTCCCATGGGTGTCCGGTTTTGAGGGTTTGGAAGAACTGATTCATATATTTGGCAGGTCTTGAGATGTTTTGAAGGTGTTGAAGCTTGTCCACTCTAGGACACGAGTTCGCGCTGGTCCAACCTGGCAGCACGGTCGGTTTGGGGCCGGCGCCTGTGGCGGCGTGTTGGAATTCACCTGACCTCCGAAAGCCTCACGGTGTGAAGACGTTTTCTCAAAGACACCATGGAAATCGAGGATCGAGGATCGAGGATCGAGCTAGAGTAGACAACCAATTCACCACGATGGTTTTCGAATTCAGTCATGTCTTGGTGGAAAAGTCGGTGTTGGTTTATTTGGTTGGATGGTGCTTCTCGCCTACCTTACAGGTGAAACAACAAACTGCAATACACTCTGACTTTCTAGAAATCTTTCGGCAATTTGGGCAGAAAGGGCTGGGAAAGATGTTGGGCGGAACAATCAAATTGTTGCCCTACTAATCAGCTGGCTTTGATGTATGCTTTAATTGTATCATATATAGTCTTCCACATCATTCCCAATGGCCCAAGGGTCTCTATAGCCACCTGTTTCTTCATGTCCTTTTGTTTGCCATTCTTCATGTACCAACGTGACTACTTGTGACTTCCTGAAAAAGAACTCAACCTCTCCAATCCGACGCTCGACCGGCAACCCCTTTGGCGCCAGGACCAGCTCTCGCTTGCGCCCGGAGCAGAGCGGCTCCACGGCGGACCGTCGCGAACGCCGCGACGGGGACCGCCCAGAACGACGGGCGGAACGTCCCGGTGCGGCGGCGGCGGCGCTGGGGGGCCTAGAGGGGAAGTGAAGCGTGGTAGTGCTGGTGCGGCGGGGGGTATAAGTTGTTGTGTTTGATGTGTTTGCTTGATGTTCACAAAAAAGAACAAAACATAATGTTAATAGCTGACTTGTTGGATGAGGATGTTGGGTCGTTGTCCTAGCAATGGGAGCTCAACGTTTTTGCTGGACCCTTTGAAGGGCTAAACATCACGACAGGATTAGATTTGTCCAATTTGTTTTGTCAGTACCCTGGAGTGCAAGTTTTAGGTTTTGCAATGTTTCGCACATTAATTAATTTGTTTTCAGAAACTTAAGTGTGGATGATCCTGTGTGTTGATTTGACAGAGGGACACGTCTTCAAGTTTTTTCTTGCGGCCAGGAATCAGCGAGGAATGACCCATCATGCACTATGACATGACATCCAAAATGCTTTTGCTTTGGCCTTTGTAAAGGTTTCTAACTGGGTTCCCTCTATATGCAGAATTTGGTTTCTTTGTGGACAAACATATTTTGAACGATCCACACCCGGTACGCTCATTCCGTCCGCACCTGCTCAACAGGGGCCTGTTCGGCACCGGTGACTCATGTGTGATGCACACGCCGCCGGCTCCAGTGTCATCCAGTTACTCCGCTCCTCGCGTAGCCAAGCGCGCTGTGCTTTTCAAACCCCGTGGCACAGTCGCTTGGCTGGTGGGAAGGGAGTTGGCTGTGAGGGGGGACTCTTTTTGGGGTACTCTGCATCCTTGAAAACATGTGAGCTGTTGCAAGGGAGCGACCGCAAGTGTTCCAGCATAGGCCCATCCGCTTCTACGTTGGGAGGCGGCTTCGCTGCGGGGGCATCGGTCGACAGCTCGGCCCGCAGCGCCAGCAGCGCCACCCTCCCAGCTCCGACCGAGTCTGCAGCGACCTCTTTAGGGATTAGGGACAGTTCGTTTTCGCTCAGCCGCGGATTTCGAGTTGGATCACGAGTTCAGAAGGTCCTGGTCAGTGTATGTTTGTACTTGCTCGTTTCTGGATGGGTAGAGGGAAGGGTGAAGGATGAAGGATGGTGAAGGGGAAAGAACCGTTTTGAGTAGGCACCGCCTTAGGAAGTGGAACCTGACAGCTTTCTAGCATCTTCGAGCATGCAAACCAAGTCATTTGGAGGGTGACTTACGGAGGATGCTTTTCTGGCTGTCCCTCTTTGTGTTCGAGATAGTATTCTAAATGCCATGAATTTGCAACCTTCTAGAAGCTGAAACACCGAAACCGGCTTTGCAGTGTTTGGTGCACCCAATGTCTTCCCCGCTTGCTGAGGATCGGTCGAGCTTCTAGCCATGTCGCTGAAGGCGATATCCGCCGCCTACCGTCCTCCGTCCGTCCCGTCGTCGTGTTTCTTCACGTTTCATTTCGTCTCTGAACATGTTCCTCCAAGCACGACCGTGAAAGGCTTTGGGAGTCCAGGAGAGTGGTGAAAGACCATGTGAAACCCTTCAGCAGCTCCGACCGTCCCAGTGACCCGGCAACAGGCCTGTTTTGTAAGTAACCTCAGGCGTCGACGCCTGAGGAAAGTGTGAAGGGTTTACAGTGGTTTCAGAGTAGATGGGCAGACCCCATGATGTGCTGAACAGATGGGGGTCCATAAGCGGGTCCATATAAATCACCTCTTCAAAAGGTGTTTGTGCCATGTACCCTTTGAATCCACTGCTATTGAAAGGGTTTCAAGATGTTTCTATAGGGTCTGGCGTTCGGGGATGGGGCGTTCCATGTTGACTCGACCCACAGCCATATCCCTTTGATCCCATATTCTTCCGCCCCAGGTCAGTTCCTCGGGATCCAACGGATCCACCGTAGAAATCAGGTGCAGGTACGGACCCTCCAACCTGCATAGAAGATCAAAGCATCGCCAATCATCATCTTCTCAGATCTTCTCAGGTTCGAAATGTGGATCCATATATATATATATATAGAGGAGTATACAAAATCACCAGTCCCTATAGGCCCTATGGGCGGCCTGTCATCCCGATCGGACTGTGGTATCGCCGGTCCTCGCCGGTCCTCGCCAACACTTGCCGGTACGAGGCCAAGCAGAGCAAGATGGCGCCGCCCATGACCGAGGGCGGCGACAAGCCGGTGAAGAAGAAGGAGAGACCCGAGACATCCCGACACTTGAGATGAAGGAGTCGGGAGTGACACACCTTCAGAGATGAAGATGAGGAAGTGAAGGTTGGACTCACTTGAGGTAGAAGAAGTGTCACACTTGAGTCACTTCACTTCGACATTTCGACTCTGGAAGTATTTGCAAGAAGAATTGGTACGAATTGCATGCCGGTCCCTGGTTTCTTGTATAGTGGTGACGATCCTTTGGGTGAGTCTGGTTGCTACAGGAACACTAAACAGACTAGCCAAACTAATTTGATATAAATTTGATTCGCTCACCACATACCCAATCCACACCTGGGGCGGGTTGTTTGGACTCTCAGATCTCGCATTTAAAGAGATTTGTTAGCAGGTGCTGAGACCTGAGTTGTAAATATGTTGGTTCAAAGCCCCCACCGAGCCTCCAGGTCATGACTGCCAGATCTGTAAGATTCCGCCTCCTTGCTCTCGCAGAAGTAGGCAATACTGTCTCTGCTGATCCATCTCCACGATCAGCTGGTATCTCGCAGGACCCGCCAAGGACCCGAATGGCTCGGTGTTTTCCCGACACGCGCGGTCCGCACGCGGTCCGGTGGCGCCGGCGGACCGCTAGGGGAACAAGGCGAAGGCCCAAAAGACCAATTGGGGGTACTACGTCTTGAAGCTCTTGAAGCAGGCGAGGACGACGCCAGAGTGACTGGAGAAGACTGGAGAAACCGGGGTAAACGAGGCTGTTGCTTAAACAAAATGCTGATTTTGTATGATTTTATGATATTTTATGTATGTTCGGTGGGTGAACTCCCCAGAACCGGGGAATATGTGTTTTTGCACCGGTTCCTGGACAGCTTTCCTCGTAAAACGACTCGTCCATGTTTCGGACCTGGCACGCTCTATAGGTCCTTGCTTTTGGCCGCAGGACCATCGATGACTCGTGCCACGGAGTTGGAACGACTGAAGTTGTTGACGTCGTTTTTACAGCTGTAGACTCTTCCGATCTTCCTAACCCGGTCAGTTGGACCTGATGAAGTACTGGAGTTGGTCGTACAAAAACCATGCTCAAGGAAGAACAAACTCAAACTTTTACTGAATTGGGCAAAATCTAAGTGGCCAATGTCTGATCGGCCAGGATTTCTATAGGGAGATGGGTCTTTGTGGTCCGATGTTCAGCTTTATATGGTATTTTGATGCTGTATACGTAACAAGAAGCTACTAGGAACAAGTGCATCGCTTCTAGTAACAAGTGCCCTACTAGTAGTAACAAGAAGCTACTAGTAGCTCCTGGCACTAGGAACAAGCATGATAAGAAAAGGAGATTCCAGGTCCGGATCCACCGGGAGACACGAGTCCTGTCGTGTGACCCACTAGACCCAGCAGACCGCCCTGTGGCACCGCGCGAGGTGCATCCGACCATGAAGATCTCCAAACAGGTCGAGCCGTTGCGACGACGGGGGACCGTCGTGGCACCAAGGACCATAGTGACCAGTGGGGTCCTCCCAGTGAAAGCAAGGTGAAACAGGAGGCCAGATGTGGCCAGATCAACAGAACGAGGATGAATCATCATGTGAAACACCAGTTGAAACAGCCTTTTTTTTGGAAAGGTTCCTGGTCACCACGAGGTGACTGTGGTCACCTTGAGGTGACGAATCATAGGGGACGGACCTGTTTGTGACCTCAGGAACTGCCTCTTCGTTTGAGAGGTCAGCTGAGTGACTTCCTTTTGCGGTTCTGCAGACATTCTTTCGAAGTCTGTGAACTGTACCAGCTCAGCGTTTCGAGGTCGGAGACTTAAAGGTTCTAGGTGACCTGTTGGAGGGTACAGAGTTGATTTGTGCGGCAATTTGTGCGCTTCCCTCAGTGTTTCTTTTTCTCCCTTCTTTTGAATGTAAAATGGAAACCTCTCCATCCTGAGGTCCGGATTTCATCAGTTCGTGATTTCAAGTGGCTATATAGCTGTAAAGCTGGGCAAAAGAACTTGTGTTGATTCATTTGGTGGATGACTTTAGGCTTGCAAATTCTGGGACCCACCTTTACAAGATCTATCAACCGCCTGGGTAGATAGGATTAAGATGGATTAAGTAAATGATGGTAGATTTCAGACCACTGGAGCTTGAAAGGCGCTTTGGGACTCAAGAACCTGGTTCTTTCCTTGGCCATTTGGCCGGCATGTTCTCCGACCTCTTCAAAACGATGCCGGTGAGGCGATGGCGGTCATGGTCTCCTGTGTGGAAGATACCTTTGAGCGCATCTCTCAAGAGGCGCGTGCAATCCAGTGACCAAACGGAACAGCCTTGGAGCAGGGCCTGCGGAGCCCTGAAGCAGACAAAAGCACCATGCGAAAAAGAAACCACGCGGAGACAGTTCTGATTGGCTGGGTGAGTGTCTCAGATATACGGTAATTATACTTCAGAAATTTGTATGTTCAACCTTTACCTGAGATGATTGAACCCACTGACAGGTATTTTTTCAAGTGGGTTGAACATGGCTGAGACCACCAACCAGTTGGTGTTTAGTCCAAGATGATGCTGCGCTGATTCTAGCTGTTTATGTCCAAACTTGGTGAATTTTTGTAAAAGCCCTGTTGGTGTTTAATTGCGAGGGATCAATCTCTGTTTTGTTGGCTATTTCGCTGGGAAATGCAGTAGCGGGCCCGTCCTGAGAAGAGGAACCTGTGATTGGAGTTGGAACCTCTCATTGAGACGTAAACTTCATGACAGATCAACTTATCTATCCTTCCCTATAGTCACGATTGTCACGTCAAAAGAGATCAGGTGAGGGGAGATTAGGTGTGCTGCCCCTTGGGTGTCAAGCTTGCTACAGTAGCACCTCACTTATATTCATTTCAGGGATATGAAGACTATTTCACAAAAGAACACACAACTGAAACCCGCTAGAACGCCGCTCGAACGCCGCTTCTTCCATTCGCCTCCACGCTGACCGGAACCGGTGACACTGGTCATCGGTCGGTCCCTTCCCGACGCGAGCAGGCGGGGAACCTTCACCGGAAGGACAAGGGCTCGACCTCGCTGACGACGCGCCGAGCCCTCGGTGGAGCTGGCCGTCCGGCTCGCGTCGCGGTCCGCGCGGGTCCGTCCGAGCTTCCGGGAGCACCCGAGATGATGTGTGTCGAGATGAGGACTCCGGAGTTGGAGTTGCAAGCCCCAGCCATGGCAAAACACCCATGGCATGCTGCTTAGACGGTTGATTCTGCTAGGGCTAGGGAGTTGATGAATGATGTTGGATGCTAGGATCTTGTTGAACAGCACAGTGATCGGGCAGTGGTGGGGGCAAGGCAAACATCGGCAAAGCCGGAAGCTTCCCGTGGATTTGGGGTCAGAGTGACTGAGCTTTCTGCGGGATATACACCTGCACCTAGAAAACCCAAGTATGCAAAAAAATGTAATCGTGTTCTTTTCCGGCAAAAAAGGTCATCTCAGCCAAGAAACGTCATTGTTTTGTAAAATTGTAGTTGCTGCGATCAAGCCAGTGGAGGGTATGATGCAATATTCATTTTTTCAGCTGCTTCCAATCCCAAATCCAGCCTCTTCTTACACCAAAAGGTAGTTTTTCACCTAAACTTAGGCTCTTTCAGTCGGTTCCGGCGAAAGTGCAAGGATACACCGTACCTTTCGATGGCCCTTAGGATGACCTGCTTGCTTGCAACATGTCTACTGACACGGCTGATTCTCCCAATAATAAGAACTTTGTTGGCTGCACAATGCCATTTAACTGACACGCAAAATTTGGACAGTTTGACAATTTCTCTCGTCTCAAAAGTGGTGTGAGAAAGATTTGGCGCTTGGGCCGAAGTCATACACAACCTGTAACGCAGTGCGAGCCCCTCTTAAGGAATCGAAACAACTACTACAGCGAGTTAGCTGTGTTTTGCTCCTGCAACTGCTGGAGAAGGGTGTCTTCCTCATCAGGGGGCTGCACAACATCATGTGTCGGGCAGGGCATGCCTTCAAATCCCTCACCTCACACAGAGTGGCGCAGCTCGAAACCAAGGAGTTGATAGGAGCAGGCGTGGCCACATCAAAGGAAACCTGCATGTACCAACGTACCAGAGGCCCCTGACACAGCAAAAAATTTTACATTCAAAACATCCAAACCGTGTCCGGCAATTTCCGCAATTTTTCCGGTGATTTCCGTCACTTGGACGGTAAATTCCGTAATTGTTTTTCGGCCACTCCTGCATGGAAGTTTAAATGTCCACTGAAAAAATGGAAATCTCAGCGATTGCAGATCGAGCTAGGTTTTGTTTTCCCTTGCCCCAAGCGTTTCTCTATTTTTCAGCTTTGAATGATCACCGCAACTTATCCGAATCTTTCAGGCAAGATGGAATCAAGGCATTCCATGACAAGCTGTTGGGATAATTTGACACATCTCAAACACAGCATGCTCTCAGTGAAATTGGCTTCTGTCCGGTCGATTTCCAGGGCCTTCGCTTCGAAGTTCTTCGAGGGCAAAGGCAGAGCAGCTTTTCAACGTCTTGAAGTTTTGGCCACTCTAACCATGACTATGAACTAAATAGATAGAGCTCGACCACTTTGAAATGGTTTCGATGGCGATATGGATCTCCAAAGCAATCTTTGCAAAACGAGGAAGTTGCAATTTGTGCACTGGGGGCATCATGCATCATCTAAATGCCCTCTGGTGATTGCAACATCCTTTGTGTACAGAAAGTAAGTACTGGCGCCCTGTTCATTTGCCCACAACTCCAGACTGGAGATCTCAGACAGAATGGTCCCATGATTTCTCGAACAAACAGCAGTAAGTATGCAAAAGGTAACAAAAGGTAACCAAAATCCAAAAAGGTAATTGTTATACAAAAAATACATTTTCAACAAAAAAACTGTTTTTTCTGAAACTACAATTTTTTTGCATACTTTAGGTTTACTATGTGGGAAGATTAACATGGAACCTGAACAGCACTGGGTTGTAGAGGAAAGTAGTCTTCCAAAGGTCCATTTTCAGGTTCCATGTTAATCTTCCCAGGTGTATCTAGGCTCAAGCTGTTGGGAGTCACTGAAAGGATCTCTCGGACGATGATTCCCTCAAAATCCACAGACCTTCTCACTTCCAACCTACATAAGGTCACCCTATCTCCGTACGCTCACCGTACTGAGTTGCTTCGGTCGCGCTGGATCCATAGAAACCACATACAGGAACGAGAGCAAGTCCAACCTGCCACCGCCACCACCACGGCCTGCAGCGTCCACAATGGATTGGTGGGTCCGAGCTTCGACCGGATTCGGTAGCTCCATGGTTCGATTCACTGGCATTGCTGCCATGCTCCATGACCCCGAGACGGGCTCCATGAGTCCGAGAACAGAGCCATTGGCCTTCCACTTCGTGCCGCTACACCCAACTCACTGAAATAAAATGCCTCCAAGTCAATGACCTCAGTTGAATTTGTTCATTTGGTCTTGGAGACCATGAATTAAGGCTTTCTTCGAACACCGACTTTCACCACTTCCATCCCAGCCTCATCCCACTACGACGTCGCTTCTCCCAGGCGACATCCAATCCGCGGTCCGCTTGGTCTTCCCGGGGGAGCTCTCGCGGCACGCGGTTTCCGAGGGATGCAAGGCGGACGGACGTGGGGGGGTTCTCCCGGGGCAAGCCGGTGACCCAAAGAAGCACCAGGAAGCGGTTTTGTGATGCACCCGGGAACCTAGGACATCTGCAAGGCTTCAAGTGAAAGCTCCACAAAGGGGATTTGATCTTGTGAAGTGAAGTGAAGCGAATCTATAATAAGCATCTGATATCAATTAGGTGTTGATTTCTTTCTGTACAAGCAGATCATGGATCCCCGAGGGTTGGTGAAGAGGTGCTCCTTGCTCCGGAAACATGAGAACCGATCCGAAAGTGGGTGGATCTTAGGGTGTGTATCGTGTATCATATATATATATAACATATTATATATATAACCATATATAACCACGCAGTACTGTAACAGTTGCTACTTGTAATGGATTATCTCTTGGGTTTGTCCTATCGATATCTGCAGCAGTCGGTTAACAATTGAACAAGGCCTTTACTAACGGTCATCATCCACTGTTACTGGTAATATGATAGACCCAACCTATCTACTTTTCACCAAGGCCTTTGCTAACCATCATCCACTGTCACTGCTACTTGACTCTATAGTTGTTTCGGGAATGCGTCCGACGCATCCAAATTTGACGGAAAAGCGGAACATCTCCGCTGTCAGCTTTCCGTTTTCAGATGAAAGATCCCATGGATCCCAGTTTGGGTGTTCCGCGTGTTGTTTCGCGTGTTTCTCAGCGACTGGACATGCAGGCAGTGATCGCTTTCCAGGGTGGCGCACCTCCGGAAGAGGAGGAGGAGGATGAGGCGCGTACGTGCGTCGTTGACGGTGCTTACGTTTTGCTTTTCTCCAGTGAGTGATGCAGAAAGCTATAGGTGTTCTTACTTCTCAACGACTGTGTGGGTGTCTTTATTGTGCTTGTTTTTGTTTGCGTCAGCCAGAAGGAAGGTTTAACTGGGTTGGAGCTTAATTAGGCTTCCTAATGCTTCCAACTTGCCAAAGAGGTGAAGTCACCTCGGAGCCTTGCTATAGAGTTGAATTGTCACAAACGTGACACCAAAGTTGCAGAAATCAGAGAGAGAGAGAGAACATCTCTGAAAGCAGGGCAAACTCAAAGTTACATTTTAGGTATGCTTCTATATTTTGATGGGATTCCTCCATCAGAGCTGACCTCAAGGGCTGGCACAAGACCTATAGCCAGGATGAGCCAGACAAGGATGGTTTGTCCCTCAAGGTTTCGCGAAAAAGGTGATGAATTTCCCCAGAATCCTTATGATTCACTGGCAGCACTGAGTTCATTGTGTTGTGCTGAAAAAGTGCAAATATTGATCCTCTTACTTTGAGGAACAAATGATCCCCAGTCCGTGCTGTCCCCCATGCATTCGTTCCCACCGCGACACACGTCGTCCACGTCGTTCACGTCGTTATCGATGTAGCACATCCCAGTCCCTTCGTTGCAGCACATCCCAGTGCAACGATACCGGACCCTGGAATCCACAGATGCATATGCATAATATGCAGGTCTAAAAGTATGGCCGGCACCCCAAGTGAAGAACCAATCCTATAGGGAATAGGTACTGTACTATAGCCATGCCGGGCATCGACATTCTATTCCCGACATCAAGGATCATCCATATGAAGTTCCATACGAGGACCCTTCAAGGCGCATGGGGTGTGTGCTTTCGTCCACAACGCCCCGAAAAGAGGTGAAGGCTTCGCCAACCAACCCAACTCCCGGGGGTCCTGGTGTAGACATCCCCTAGTGGATCCATTGCCACAGTACCTCAGAAGGTACTGGGCAGCATCTTGCAGCCTGCATAAGTACCGACCGTACCTCCTGGCTCGAGTCGGTTCGGTCGCTGTGGATCCACTCGCACTCGACGAGTCGACCGCAGTCTGCTCGGAATGGATCGTCCGCTCGACAGGACGAGTGAGCGAGTGACGAAGCCAGGGGCGGTCCGCGATGGCACCTGGAAGCCTTTTTGGGACGGTCCTTTCTTTTTCTATAGACCGGTCTAGACCAGCTTTTGGAACTCGGCCACACGGAATTTGGGAACCCCAAAGCTTGGAAAACACTTCCTGGCACAGAGTCAGAATAATGAGTATGATGGAGCGCAGAGATTTTGTTTAAGAATATATAAAGCTAGTGTGGTTTCACGTGGTGTGTTTTTCTCCAACCCACACACACGCACACTTGTGGCTCCACCATGCTCACCATACACCCATTGCTCACAGAACAGATGAAAATGAAACATGGTCCTGAGTCGTGACCATCCAACATGCTGTTCCATTACCCTAGACTTCCAAGACCATGAAAACATGGTTGAACGTAAAATCCTTAGTTGGTTCGGGATTCAGCCTATTAATTTATGTAATAGTTTTTGGAGTTCTAGAGATGATAAACATGTTCAACGTTGGACCATTCATGACCGTTCTACCCACCAGCTAGCAGTGCTAGCAGGTGGCTCGTTGTATGGTTGTGGCTCACCCGAGTCACCCAACCAGAAACGTTTGATGTGTATCGTTCTGGAAGACGAGAAAAATCCTCGCATGTTACGGCATGGGGGGGGCATGTTCTGGCCAGCTACTTGTAGGCTCCAGAGTGTCTGATCCGATACTGGTTTAGTAAGCGATGGTCGTCCCCGAAAGTGGCACTTTCGAAGCAGAAAGGGGGGGACATGCCGCCCGAACCTCCGAAAATGCCATGCCCGAACTCTGAAAACCGGTGCATCGGAACGCCCCTGTGGTGTGGAGTAGAGTTTCCATACAGTAGTCCTCTTGCTTCAGCAGGTTGACTTTTCTTGGTCAGAATCCATTCCCATCCCCAGTCAGCAAGTGTTCAGCTTCATTTCTTGAGGGATGGGACAGAATCATGATTGTTATGTTTCTTTTCACTCGGGCCTGCGACCCCGCCGCGCGAAGACAGCAGCCACTTTGCAGGGTCACTGTGCAGGCCGCCGAATCGACCTTTCGCGATGCAAGAGGAAAGGGACCGAGACTCGTCTCGGCCCCACTCAAGCAGGGACCGCGGGGCTGGGCCAGTCGTATGCTCGGCATGTTGTATGATCAATTCCCAAGCGATCCAGGAAAGTCAATATGACCGACATTCACCAAAAACCACCAAATGTAGGGATTCATAGACTTTGGACAGGCAGGCAGTTTCTTCCATTGACGCTGTTAAGCCACTTGAACCGTGATTGATGCTATTTCCAATCCATCCTGCTTCCTCGTCCGGGCGAACCCCTTGAGACGGGGTGCGGCTTAAGCCGCCAGACATACGCAGAGTTAGATCAACAGCATCCCCTAATTAGCATTCAAAGACCGTTTCAAAAATGGTTGGCCTAGTTTGGAGTTTGGATAGTCAAAATCTTGAGTACAGCTTGGTGGTTCGGGATGACCCTGCAATCAATTCATGGTGGGCCACGAATTCTAGGGCCATCTTATTCCGGACAGGCCATCTTTTTTGACCAAACAAGGGGATTGCCTCACCTGTTAGGCATCAAACCTATGACCTGCAGACCTCAGGGGAGTTAGTCCTCGTCCCAACTAACAGGCCATGTTAGTTGACAGAATCTGATGTACCAGGGCCCTTGTGAACTATGACCCTTGAAACACCTTGAAACATTGACGCTACACAGAGAAAAGCAGCCCTGAAAAGTAGAGAACCATCAGGACCATCATAGTAAATGCTTAAGATCAAGGATCTCATTCAACTTGATGTGGTTCTGTAAAGACCCCAGAATCAGGTCAAGGGCGAGCAGACCAGTTGTGTTCATTCATTTTTTCCCAGGCAGTGCTTTTTAATCGAAGATCTCGAAATTCCAGAAGTACTTTCGGCCCGATAGCCGCTCCAGTGCCTTGCAGTAGGCTACATCAAGCTCCAGAGATAGGGGTGATGCTCATGCGTGAACTTGAACGGCCAACTGCTTGAGCCGTTGGACCTGCGAGAGAAAATGCCGTCCGCTCCGGGCCGTGACTGGCCACACGGTTCCGTCCGTCTGTGTTTCAAGGGTTCGGTTCCCCCCAAGAACCCAGGGAAGTGTAGGGCAGCCAGGGCAGCTATGCTGTTTCAGAACATGGAACCAGATTCTCAAGAAGCCTATACTTTAGATAGCCAAAAGGACTTAGCTGACACTACCCCACAAAGTGTGTTGGAAACGACATCCATCTCAGCAACATGTCCAGTCCTGTTGATTTTGGCGCTCAATTGATTATAACCACTGGGTAGCCTTGGAGAAACACTAACATTGACACCCAGTGCCAAGCGCCAAGGATTCATGCTACAAGATACAGTGCAGAATGCCACGCCGTCTCGACGTGGTTCATGGACACTCAAAGAGTCAGTACCAGTGCTGGTAAGTCCTAGTCACTCGTCAAGTAGCATTTTGGACGTGATAGGGTCAGATATAAGGGCCCTATTGGGGGTTCTAATTATTAGGGTTTCACCCTCCACCACTGACATGTCTGACAGGTCGACCATGTCAGTGGTCTGAGTCTATGTTATTTTATATATATATATATCGATTCTCTTCCAGAATGAGACCTACACGATGCTCCGAGCATGTCGCTTCGTCCAACTTCTGAGGTCGCCCACCCGCGGAGGCGGCTCACGGCTCGCGGGGCTCGCCCGTTTGTGTGTTTCGGGGTGGCCGTGGTGTGGGTAGGGGTGGGTCCAAACATGCCAAAAAGGCGGAGGTATATAGTGGAACCGCAAAGCATTTGGGTACCCCTAGCGGCGCAGACGGAGGGTCGACTACTTGGGGTTGTGAACAAAAACAACAGAATTGTGTGCATGTTTGGTTTGGGAAGACTCAGCTGGGCATCCATTGTACGATGGTGTTTGGCACTTCCGGATGGCCCGTGTCATCCCTGTTTCGGCACATTGGCTTTTGTATGGCCATGAGTGGCACACTTGTGTGGTTAGAACACCACCCCAGTCACCCTTCATCACCAGTCGGACCTGGACATGATCAGATTCACAAAGTACCAAGATGTACCAAGTACACCCCTCGATGGATCCGCTCGGTACTGCCACTGGTTCCGCACATCTCGATTGGGTCACTGTCGGGATCCGAGCGGAGCCGCATCTTGCTTGCCGCCAGGCATAGAAAACGTGAGGAACATGTCACCTTTAGCCAATTGGGGCGCCCTAGACATGGGGAGGCTCACAATATCAATACTTCAAGAAAAACTGATGGCTCACATGCAATACAACGATACTGGGCACTTGCCCTAGGCCCGAAGTCTCGTATTTTTATCACCAAAGTCGTATGAATCCGGTGTGGCCATGGGGAGAAGATGAAGATGACACCAGGTATTGATGGACTTTTTGCAACAAAAAACAATCCAAAATCAATCAGTCAGTCAGTCAGTCAGTTAAACTATTGTATACTATTGTTAATTGTGAGGCACTTAGACACATGTCATGCCGCAATATGCAGCTCGGGCAATAGAAACAGCAACATCAATCTCAGTGTAAGACACCATGTTTGTACTCTCTGAACAGAACATGTACTGCAATGGATGTGCGGCATTTGCTTCATTTTTCTGGTTGCAATCGCATAGCTTCTTCACACACTACACCTCCATTGTGCATGAACAAAAGCTTCACTTGAAGAAGCCGTCTTGCTTCTAGCGCGCAGCCGCCATGCATCTGCTGACGGCCTTGACCGCCCTAACGGCCCAAACGGTGGAGGGGCGCTTGATCGCTGCGGCGGTCTTGCCGCATGGAGACTTCGCTTACGATCCCAAGCTGGTGAACGACACAGGTGGACGGAACACCCGGGGTGAAGATTCACCAGGACTGGTGGGGACAGAGGATGTGTTGGGTCGTTATTGGGAAACCCAAAAAAGTCTTCGGCTGCAAGATGTGTTGGGTCATGGTGGGTGTTTGTCAACATCCGACCTTCAGAGCATGCAGTTGAATCCATCGGTATCCTTTTGCATTCTGGAGCTAAGAAGATCTGATAGAGTTCTGAACAGATGATGGTGTTAGCGCTCGAAAAAGACAGTTAGGTCTTCTCTTCAACTTTTGTTTGTCAGGGGTTAAACTGGTGGTGGCTTCCGATAGAGACTCCGAGGATGACTAATCCTTTCTGATTCGAGCAGAGAAATGATAGTCATGACATGTCATGAGTAGTACCACACACCATGGCGCATAGAAAACTCAAATGTCACTCCCAGCAAACCCTCCCTCAACAAAGATTTTCTGGACATCATTACCTCATATATGACCTCCTTGCCCAAGATTTGCAAGCAGCATCTAAGAAGCTCAAGACGTTCAATATATTTTAAGGATCCTGCTTCTATTGTGCAGTAGGTGTGACTCATTTGTTCAACCGCTACAGCTGACCTCCTTGCTCCGCTTCCACCGCCCAGGTGGCTCGCTGCAGCTCCACCAGGCGGCGCAACGCTTGGGTCGCGAAGCGCAGACCGCGTCGCCAGAGCTGATCTTCCTCACCACGCCGCGCCGGAGCCGAGTGGAGGACGTTGGACTCGTGTGGAGCGAGGTGTTCGACCCGACCTGCCTAGGGCGTGATGTGATGGAATAGCCTCCAAGCTAGGAATGGCCTCCACCCTAGTAGCGATGGCCTCTAACCTACTTGTAGGAATGGCCTCCAAGCTCCTGGGAATGGGAAACGGAACATCGACCAGGCTGCCACAGTCTACCACAGCGATCGGGGAAGACTTGGGGAGAGTTCCCTATGAACATACACACCCACGTGGCAAAGACTTGGGGACGGGTGGAGTTCAGCACCAAGGTGAAGCAAGGGAGAGAAACTGGAGGCGATGTGTTGTCGTTGGTGTTTTTGCAATATGTTTTGGTGAAGGTCATTCTGGCGAGAATGTAACGACACATGTTGGAATATTTGTGGACATGTATTGCAAAGCATTTTTACGTCCACCCCTATGGCCCCTATGGCTGACAGCGCGTGAGTCAGAACGGGCGCCCACACGCCGAAACACGGCCAGCGTACGCCCAGACATGGCCTGGAACTCTCGGAGAGATACCTCTTCTACTTGAATAGCCGCTGAGCTGCACCAGGACCCTCCTGTCGGGGTGCCCTGTTTGGAAGCCGGTAGTGTGGGGTAGTCCAGCCAGGACACCCCGAGGGTCGGAGGGTCCTGGCAGGTGATCAAGATGTGAAATCCCGGCGTTTTCAATCACCCAGCGGCTCACCTAGGACCGAAGAGCCAGTGGAGTCTGGTATCTCTCATGTGGTGCTGGTTGCAAGAATTCTCAAAAGAAAACGAGTGATGATGGGTGAGATGCAGCACATGGGTTGTTCATTGAAGTCCTGAACATATTTGGGGTCACTGAAAAAGAGGCAGTGCTTTGTGATTTTCTGGCTGAAAGTACTCAAATTGAGCACCAACCAAAAAGGGGTGTCACCATGTGTCACCAGAAAGCCCGGGCACTACTTCTAAACCGGGTCCAACGGGCTGTGGGTGAAAACCCACCAGATGGGATCCGGAAGGTGACCGCCCAGGGCCTAGGGTTTTCACTCAGGCTCCCAGGCTCCGGGGCTGTCCGGGGGCTGTCCGGGCTCTCCATGACAGCCATTTTGCTTGAAATTCTCCATCTACCAGCTTCTTCAGTTCGTGAGGTTTTGAAGGTGACCCTACTCCGTGACCCTTAATTAGGAGGCTTGTTCGTGACCGAACCAACCAGGTTATCAAAAGGTCACTTTCAAGAACCAGGTATAGAACATATAAAAGAGGTCGAATGTTGCGACTGTGCCATCTACTCTGAAACCGGTTTATTTGGGTGTCAAGTCAAGAACCCGTTATCCGAATGGACCATTCTGTAGAACTCCACCAGCCCGCCCACCCGCTCTCTCTACAAACTTCAATCAGGGTGGCTCTTACTTCATGCACGGGTCTACCGGCCCCGGCCACTCATGATGACACCCCATGAGGTCCCGGTCCGGTCGTGCAGACTGGACGAGGCGAGGACTCCCTCCCACGTGGCGACACACCGGGTGGACCGTTCAGGTGAGAATCAAGGTGCCACGCCCCTGGACGACATGCCACACCAAGCAGCCGGGCGCAAGGCGCCCGCCGACCGACGACGCGACCGTTGGGCACAATGGGGGGCAGGCGTGTGGACTGCTTCTTGCTGTCACCATCCAAACCGGCCATGTGTGCATAATTGTACATGGAGATTCTGACATAGGGGCAGGAAGGAAATTTACTTCTTCCCACGTGCGTGGTCATAGTAGTGGGTATGGTCCAACACTACATGCCGAACCTTGGGATGTGCGAAGGTCCATGGCTGGACCACCGGATTTCTTGCACATTTGCTGAATTTGAGCACCTGAGTACATGCTTTTGACGTCCATGTAGGTGGTAGGCTAGTGCACAAGCCCACGAGCCCCTTTGATGAATGTGTAAGCTAGTGATATAACTACAATATGTTCATATGTTGGTCTATAGTTAGCTACCATCAGCCTGAGCACTTAATCTTTGCTTGGCTACCTCTTCCGAGATAATTTTGCAAACACCTTTTTCCTCCTCAATCTCATAATCGATCTCCTCCTGACTTTAGTGCTGGCCGTCACAGAGTCATCATGTATGACATTGTATGACGTTTTTTTTTTCATGGCGAGGATGTGAGGGTTCCATTATCCAGTGGTCCCAGACCAACGGCTGCAAAGTTCAATCAAACGGCTGCGGATTCGACTGAGATCTTCGTTTGCGCTCGGACCCGCAGAGCTCGAACGCTCGAACCCGAAGACCTTGCGGCGGCGAACGCTGAAGGTGCCTTTGAACTTCACCACGCCCAGCGACCTTGGGCGAAAGCTCTTGCTGAAGCTCCAGGAGCCGCAAGCCGGGACAAGTTGGGTCACAGTGGTCATTGATAAAGGGCACTACAGGGCATCATATAATGCAAAGACCGGACTAATAAACCCCCCCCACATGGTAGGTCAACAAGGTCAAGAAGGTATGAGATTCCATTCATGAGGTCCCCTCCCCCTGAATTATCGGCTCAGGGAGCCATCGTAGTCGCAGTCGTCGTCGGTAGTAGGTAGTAGGTAGCAGGTAGCAGGTAGGAGGTAGTAGGTAGTAGGTAGTAGGTAGTAGTAGGTAGTAGGTAGTAG